CTGGACACTCGGACACTATACACTCAGACACTAGACACTCGGATACTAGACACTCGGACACTAGACACTCAGTCACTAGACACTCCGACACTGGACACTAGACACTCCGACACTGGACACTCGGACACTGGATACTCGGACACGGGACACTCGGACACTGGACACTCAGACACTGGACACTCAGACACTGGACACTAGACACTCAAACACTAGACACTCGGACACTGGACACTCAGACACTGGACACTCAGACACTGGACACTCAGACACTGGACACTCAGACACTGGACACTCGGACACTGGACACTCGGACACTAGAAACTCGGACACTAGACACTCAGACACTGGACACTCAGACACTGGACACTCAGACACTGGACACTCAGACACTGGACACTCAGACACTGGACACTCGGACACTGGACATTCGGACACTAGACACTCGGACACTAGACACTCAGACACTAGACACTAGACACTCAGACACTCGGACACTAGACACTCGGACACTAGAAACTCGGACACTAGACACTCGGACACTAGACACTCAGTCACTGGACACTCAGACACTAGACACGAATATGGTCGGTTTTTATTTTTATGTGAAAATTAACATTTCTTATTGACATATACCTTTTTTTGGAATGATATTAGTCGTTAGAAATTCCAACGATTCGGGTAGAAAAAATCTCTGTAATGTCGCATTCTTATTTATAACTATTGGATGCCATTTTTTTGGTTTTTAGAGATAAAGTGGTTGTAAGCATATTTAATGTAAAACACTATCTGAAAACATCTGCAAGATGCAAACGAGTCTTATGAAGTACCCACACAGAGTGACAGTAGGTTAAGGTTCGGCTGGGGTGGCCGAAGGCCAAGATTAACTTAACCAACTAGGAACAAGTTTTGTCGAATGAGCTTTTTTGGGAGGCCGCCGTCGAGTGAGCCAGAATCCAACAGAAGAAAACTTTTAAATGAAAAGAGAGAATAAAATAGAGGAATAGGGGTTTTGTACAAAAGTCGTTTGCTTGGGTATCTCTGTCCCATTACTGTTTCAACCGTAAAGCAGTTGTGTTTGCATGACTGTATTTCGGTTTGAAGGGTGGGATATGGCGTGAATTTACAGGGTACAGAGGAATAACACCTGAGTCCTCAGGAATGGCAACGCATGGGGAGTATCATGGGCGAAACGGTATACTCTGTTATGTCCATGGTACTGCTCATGTCTATAGGCGACGGTTACCACTTTCCATCAGGTGGGCCGTCAGCTTATTTGCGTTTCTAAGTTGTATAAAAAAAATTACAATTGTAGCATTTTAATACATAATTATACAAAACCCAAACAGTCCTATTCTATGCTTTCTATTACGCATCGAATCTATTATAATATAAATATTTATATAAACATGAAATCCCGCTCACACGTAATCACTGCTTTCAAAATCGATTAATCATAAATGAAATTTGTACATACATAAATTATATGTCCATCCACTCAGTATGTGATGTGATTATTATTTACTTATGGAAGTGATATTGTATGCCCCCAAGGGCGTCCTTGAGACACCATAATTGCGTAGTAGAGTGAACAGTGTAGCGGTGGTGCTACGGCGACTACGGCGGTCCGGCGGGTGGGTACTAACAACTGAACTTTACGAAGCGTAGCGGTAGGGTTTCAATAGGACAGAATAAAAATGTAAACAAATGAACAACTGACTCGACCGCTAGACAGTCTATTAATAATCCAATAGAAGCACAGATGAGAAATTTTTTGATTGAATGTTTCAATTTGTTAATAAGAGTGTTTTTGTAATAATTTCAACAAATTTTGGATAACTTTTCATTAAATTCTATTCAAACAAATAATAGTAGTTAACCAGTTCAGAGATTAACATCGTTACGATATTTTCAAGACTGTTTTCTTACATCTACTTACTTATCTTTCGATAATATCATCTCTTCAAAGATCATTGATACTCAAACAATTCCAAATTTTATACTCAAATAAAACAAACACAACTTAAAAGTGTTCCTGAATTTTTAAAAAGAAACGTCATAGTAAATGGTAAATATTCCATATCTAAAAGGTATTTTTTAATAAAGTCTATAATAATATATCGGCATATTTGACTACAAACGTCACTGAATTGTTAGAAATGAAGGCAAATGCGCTCTTTTCTACCGACTTTAGAAAGAAATAGATTCTCAAATCAGTTATTTATTTTTTCAACGCCACTTCCTACCCCCTAATCGAGTGTCTAAGTTTTTTGTATATCAATAAATAAAACGGAAAATAAATTTTAATCTAAAAATACATAATTAAATAAGAAATAAATAAATCAGTATGTCGTTGCACTAAAATTGCCTTGAAAATATTGTTTCCATCAATATGACCGCATTATTGTATTTACATGTGTGTATTTGCTGCAAATAACGATAATGTAAAGAAGTATGTATCATATTTTAAACAACTTGCCGCTGGTCCCGTGATCCTGATGGGCAAACATTGGACAAGATAAGGCAAGCTATTGCAAACGTATTCTGATAGCAAACTCACCCACGGGATCAATAGAAGATTTCAGATATAGAAGAATAGTAGAATTTAGTAAATATTTTAATATATTGATACAATTATTGCACAATATTTTAAACTAGTTCTAAATAGTCATCGATTATGACATTGTCTATTTAAATAATAAAGGAAAAATTGTATTTCACAAAGAAAAACTAATTTAAAATGTGGTAAAACCAATTATTTTTATTTCGAAACCAAACCACTAAACCAATTTCATTAAAATGTCTATGGTACTGAACTGAAAGTAAATCCTTTCAGATAAAAACAATACCATATCGGTTTGTAAACGACAAAGTTCTTAGGTGACAAACATAAGTCAAATGCAAGCGAATTAAGACGATTTTCCTTTCTTCGAAATTGGTTTAAAATACACGTGTAAATTGATATTTCTTTTAACCGCGCCTGCCACTGTTTATCCTAACAACTCGACGGCGTCCATCTCGTATTGTCCGGGCGTCATTACAACTTAACAACACTTACATTGTGTTCGATTTACATGGGCTATTAGCACACGTGGAGTGACCGTAAACACTCCGACTGCGACCAAACATCGCATTTACATAACGTATTATTATAGTGTAAAACAAAAGAAAAGTGAACGTTCTCGCTTTATGAGCGTACAGGTAATCCTACTGCGCATCTTATCTACGTATTATAAAACGAAGTCGATTCCCGCCGTCTGTACGCTTAGATCTTTTAAACTGTACAATGGATTTTAGTTAGGTTTTCATCAATAGATAGAATGATTCAATAGGAAGGTTTATACGTATAATATAGTATAGTTTTGTGTTAATTTGTTGACATATATAACGATAAATTTTTAATTAAAAACTAAACTACTAAACCATTATTTTAATGTAATAACTATAAATTTAAGTTATGTGTAATTAATAAACTGAGTTGTGATCATTTTGTGTTACTATGGCACACGCATGAAGGAACGGAAAGAAAGGAAATTGTTAGTTTATATATTTTGTTTCTTTTTTTTTTGTTTTGTGCTTTTTATTTTCATTCTTTTATCTCTTTTGCTGTGTACTATGTGTATGTTTTATTGTAATTTGTGTGCTGTAAGTAATGTAAATAAATTATCTATCTATCTATCTAATTAGATCGAGGAAGGGGAAGATCAACTAGTATCGGGATCAAATTGTGATCCCATGTGCTTATAAAACTTTTAACAATAAAATTGCTAAACCGATTTTGAAAAAATTTCTATGGGACTAATCTGTAAGTACATCATATCAGACAAAAAAAATAGAATTTTTCAAATCGGTTTACATCTGACAGAGTTATCCAGAGTTATTGTACCTACTATGACATTCAAATACAAATAATTAATGTTTATGAATTAATAAAATTAAAACAAAATATCAGATAACTAACATAAAAAAACAACCGAATCGAGACTTCACCGTTTTTTAAGTCGACAAGGGTCATGAATACTCGCCGTTAGCCGCACTATGCAGCCTCGCTGAGTGCCTTTTCACGCTACGTTTGGAGGATCCGATGCTATAGGATGAAGTTCAACGTGTCACGGGTGAGGCCATCCCACAATGTGACGGTACGGTTCACCTTTCAAGTCCACACATTGTACCATATTTTCTTACTCAGTAAAGTTATTTAAATTAATCTAAGTAACATCTATCAGGGAGAGAAATCAATGAACGAACGAACTCTAAATAAAATAAATTGGTGAATTCGTTGTATTCTGTAATCAGATTATAATGATAATGATTTTTCTGGGCCCTTAATCTATATATTAATACGTGAGGCAAAAACTTTATACCCCTATTTACGAAAATTGTGTGGACAAAGGAGTATGAAATTTGGCACACTTATAGTTTATACAGAGGAGTGTAGAATGATTCTTTTAAAATTGTACATAAAAATACATTAAATCAATAAAAAAAAACATTACACACACTACCATGTATTTAACAGTTTAACACACACACGCATACATTTTTTTTATACAACTTAGAATGGCAAACAAGCTGACGGCCCACCTGATGGAAAGTGGTAACCGTCGCCTATAGACATGAACAGTACCATGGACATAACAAAGTATACTGTTTCGCCCATGATATCCCCCATGCGTTATGCATATGCCATTCTTGAGGATTCCTCTGTACCCAGTAAATTCACGCCATATCCCACCCTTCAAACCGAAACACAGCCATGCAAACACAACTGCTTCACGGTTGAAACACGAATGGAACAGAGGTACCCAAGCAATCGACTTTTGTACAAAGTCTCCCTCTGGTATAATATACTCTTTTGTCTATCGTTAAAGTCTGTGGTCAAATTGAGAATAGATTAATATTGGTCTGTCTTTAATATTATTTGTCTATAGTCTCACTGAATGTCAAACGTAACCATAAGGGGTTTATAAAACTAGTTTAATTAAATAAGTGTTAGTACAGACCCAGTATGACGCTGCACGTGGCGAGGCACTCTTCCTGCGTGAGAAAGTTGTTCCGGTTGCCGCGGCAGCCGCCGTAGTTGAAGGGCACGCACATGCCCTTGGCGGCCGCGAACGCCCACCGCTGGTACATGCCGCGGCACGGGCCCTGCGACGGCTCCTCCATGCAGATGCCTGCATAGACGTGGCCTTGTTTAAAATTATCTTCCAGGGAGAGAGGGGGGACGGAGGCAAGCCCCAAATTAGCGTATATGTGCTCTTTAATATGTCTTTGCTTATAGCTGAGAGCAATTCTGCAATAGGCATAGCTGTGATTCAGTTTAAAAGGCAGGAGTGCTGTGATATTACATAGTACGAGTCATATTGTATTGTAGCACCCGTTAATTGTCCACTCAACATAGCCTCCTCCATTAGAGGGGTTTTGCCAATAGTTGCCATGCTTAGCAGGCGGGTTGGCTACTGCAGTTTGGCTTTTGGAGATGTTTTAAGAGGGATACTGCTGCCCATCCCTCGCCCTACCTTAGTCGCCTTTTACGATGCCCACGGAAATGGAAGGAGTGGCCTGTTGTACATGGCTAAAATTTTGTAATACGAGAATTTCAATGACTGGATAATATTGTAACAGATCCTTAGACTATTTCTAAAGTAAAACAAAAGTGTTGTCCTCCTCTCTCGTACTTGCTGTGTCCAGGGTCCATAATTGAAGTAAAAATGTTATCTACTAATTATATTATGAAATGCAATAAGAAATAAATAAATAAATAATTTCGAGTACAGCTAATTACATAATACATGAAGTTATCTGATGCTTTTGTATGTAGAGCTGATGATGAGGTAAACGGCTTGCTTACGCGGCAGTCGTTGAGGTGGCGAGTGACCATTGTAACGCTGTCCATACAACGTGCCTATTATCTAAACGATCTCGTTAACATTAGCTACAATGGATGCAGCACTAAACGCTTGTGGCTTTGTCAGCTGTACGTTTATGGACATAAAAATGATCGCAGGCATTGAACGTTAAATATCTATTAACGTAATAACTATGGAATCGTCCGAGCACTGTAACATAGGTTGTACTTCGTTTAAACATTAGCTATTAAGGTAACTTCTGTAAATTTGAAATAATGAAATCGTCAAACTTGAGAGTAGACAAAGAATTTCGCTTTTGTTTTGGAAGAGTCACCACGTACGTATGTGTGAGTAACAGTTTGTATAAACATCTTATACATTCAAAAATACCACACTTACCCACACAACTTAATAATACAAGTACGTATGTATATTTGTATTATTAAGTTGGTTACGCATACATTCTAGCCTGATATACATGCTGTTTTATTTCTAAAACCCTTACCAAGTATTAATGTAACGCTTTCGTGACAAAAAAATATTCAAGTACGTATCATTGTACTATAAATTTGATTGGAGCACGACAGTTACCAATTTCCACCAAGTGGACTGTTAGCTTGATTGCCATTCTAAGATGCATAAAAAAAAGGTACATAATATTGACTCGTATGAATTCTCTTAATATACGTGAATACAATAAAAGGTTACAATGAATCCTTAATGTTTATGACGTGGGGTAGCATATGGTTCGTGTCGCGGTACTCACGCTTGGCGGTGGGCATGTCGAGGTGGCAGTCGTCCCGCTCGGAGCAGGGCCGCTGCTGCAGCAGCTCGACGCGCGCCGAGCAGGCGAGCTGCTGCGCGGCCGGCACCAGCAGCAGCCGCGTGCGGAACCGCACGCCGCGCCCGCACGACGCCGAGCACGGCGACCACGCCGCCCACGGGGACGTCGGGCACGCGGGGTCCGCCGCCTCCGCCTCCGCCTCCTGCTCGGGGCACGCTGGCTCCATGCACTTGCGGTTCTCCTCTGTACACGACTCCAATGTTAATAATTGAGGCCAGTAAATGCGTTGCGTTCGGTTTACAAACGGTCACATTCGCGTCACAGAGAAGGGGCGATGTCAACTCTCAGAGGACAAGAAACTGGCCATGTTTCATGAAGCGCACTATTACTTGTAGTGTGCTTGTACCCCTTGTACT